TAACTTCAACTAATCCACGATATTGTGAGACCATCTTCCAGGTTTCGCAATAGTTAGGGGTCGAGTTAATGTAGGACATTAAGGGAGATTTTATTTGTACAGTTCAATCGCCGATTTCTACAAATATAATCTCCTTCTTTAAAAATGATAATGTTAAAAGTTACGAATGTTTAATCGTTTCTCAGGACATTGTATATAACAAGCAAATAAACGCTATCCCTAAATTGTAATCCTAAAGCAAATTTTACACTAGTGGCAATATATTTCATGGAAAAAATATTAAGACAACGCCGATTGCATTTATAGGTGAAACTCAATCAAGCTTATAGCTAAAAACTATCTTACAGTAGAGCTCATGTTAATCACAGATCGATTGTGGCTCTCAGTGGAGTCCACGACGCTCGTTTCGTCGTACTTGATACTCGTCAGCTGGATGTCCCTACAACGCAGAGTTGATGTTGAGTCCGAAACTCGAACCCGGTACGTTTCGTTCTAAATGTCATCATGTTATCCATTTAGCTACTGAGTCCATATAGCCACTTTAAGCCCTTCATCTTAGTAATATATATCTAATACTAACTAGGAATAATATGGGTCCTTTTATGAGTTCGAGATGGACAACTTATCACTTCCATTAGAATGATAAATACAGGTTTGTACGATGTTTTTTTTCGATTTATAGGCAGATTAACCTATAAGAGACATTAAGAGATGTATGAATCCCAGAAAAGCTCTTCATATTTTGAGACAGTATTGTTTTCTTTTCCATAAACTGTGTTTAGAAATTCACTGCAGTTGTTTTATGCTCATTCCTATATTATCATCTTATCACAGTTTAAACTTACTCATATAAATGATATAAACTCGGTTTGGTATCTACAACATGGTTAGAATTAACTTTATTCTTAACCGCATATTATTAAATGAAATTCAAAATAATAATTATCTAGGCAAACTGCTCTGTAGGCAGTATTCGTCATGAACTGACAGCTGAAGCACCACTAAAAACACTGCACTTCTAAACACTGTGGATATAAATATAATTGTACAGCTTCAAGAATAAAATCACGGATTTCGGCATGAAATTGAAAGTGCAGTGAATGATAGCCTTCTTATTATTATGGAAACTGACAATATTTCGCTTTTAAAATGCTTGAGGGTAATAAAAATATCTAATATAAGATGGTACATAGACTAAATATCAAGAAATACCTGCTTTTGATACTGATTGTTAAGACATTTGATGTGATTCAATGAATACATACTCAAGGCTGTTTGCGTAGCTAAACAATATCCTAAAACTCTAGCTCTTAACTCGAAATCTCAACTAAGCGTGTAAAAGAAGGATTGTCGATGTATCGTTGTATTACATTTGATGTCAGTTTACGATGAAAACCCTAACCCTGATTCATAACTTTAGTTTAACACTTAATACTTATTCCTAACCTTCTTGAACCACAGCCGTTATCATTTGGGTGACAGAAAACCTTACAGGGTCACAAACCTGAATAACAAAACTAGTTCAACTCCTAATATGTAAACTCAATGTTCTTCTTTAACTGTAAAGCATATTTCAACATTCATTAGCCAATTAATCACATTAAAACTATTATTGTATTGTAATTTTATTGCTTTTTATGGTCAGCTATTTTATACTAAAACCTTTTATCATGATTGTTAAACAAGTCTCTCAAGGTCGTCAGTATCGTTTACTTTTACCAAAATTGAAATCAACAAAAGTAGATAAATATTGTAATTTCATATTACTGTATGCATTATGAAACCGGGGCTTCATAAAAACTGTGAGAACAATCACTCAAGTGTGCTATAATAATAAAAATAATAATGACTAGTCATTCCTACTAGAAGCCGTTGTTCGAAAATATTATTGAATGAACATGGCTTTATGATGAATGTTAGTACTGTAAACCATGAATGTGAAATACTCTTTGCGATCATCAACGTAGATAAATAAATGGTCTAATTATCATAACTTGGTGATATCCGACATGATTGTTGATCATATTCGACCAAGAAAAAACGATAACCATGAGCGACATTGTAAGACAGTATCAATTGCTGGAAAACACCAAACGAATAAGTGATACTGTAGTGAACAAGAACACGGGTGGGGACAATCAAATGCATTCAGAACAACAGTTACAGACTATCTCAATAAATCTGAAAACCATATAATTCGTTGAAAAGAGATCCCTTCGCTGAAATTCGTGTTTTAATTTTAATGCTTAAATGGGAATTATCTGTCAATATAATAAATCGTCAATTTGCAAAATATCAATGCATCATATCAAACTGGACTGTTCCTCTTGCAAACGCTAATCCATTGTCTCCCATTCCATTGTTCATGCGTTTTCTTACAAATCCCATTGTGTTCTCGCCCTTCCTTTCTTGATCTTCCCCCTCTTCTGCTGCCAGACATTACGTTCTTTTAACTCGCGTTATATACTACTTATATCAATAAAAGTAGTACGCACCACAATAACAACTATATTCATTGAGGTTTAGATTCTTCTGGAAAATAAGTACTTCAAATATTCTAAGATTTGTTGACGTCTATGACATGAATTCAAGTGAAATGCACGTAAACTATAAAAGGCCAAAGTGGTTGGAGTATGTGTGGTGTATGCTCAGGGATCATCTACGTGCGACTATGAATTAGTTAGAAGGCCAGATGGTGCCAAACCAAAAGGTAGTATCGATCAAAATGTGAGTGGACGGTGAACTTAGTTGTTTCAGTAGGCACAATCTTGTTGATCATCGTATGTACCATAAATGTATCCTAAGGTTGGGAAGTTTGTGACATGGTTCGAAATCAAATGCAGTAGCGCGAATTATTTCTCTGGAATTAACAAGTTTGCACCTAATAATTCACATTTCCAGCTTTAATCAATTCATGATATGATTATGAGACTATAGCTGAGTTTCATCGGTTATACACTTGCCTCATACTTGATACGGTTGGATTACACCAATCATACCTTTCCACCCACTAGAACTTCCAATATCCATCTCAAAATTAGCTACCCGTAAGCATATAATTTTTATTAATAAGTGTAAATTAAGTTTGAACATAATAAAGAACTTATTTATTTATTTGAACACATAAATATTGATACAAGAGGGTACCAAATATTTATGGGCCACCCAAAAACAATGAGAATTTGAAGCGAAGAAGGAGAACAAAGGTAAGGAGCGTAAAAAAGAACAATAACGAACATACTAGTGTAAGGTAGTGTAATAATAATAATAATGAGAGGAACAGAAACGTGCAATCAGAAAGAGATCTTTCAGTTAAGGAAGAAGCAACCGCTTTTTATGAAGAAAGTAAAAGAAGGTTACAGCAGGATCGCCACTGTCTCCTATTCCGAGCCATATCTGATAACGTCTCTAGCCACTGTGTTGCACCATCTCTCGGACCCCAACCAGGGAACCGTGAAGGACCAACACAAGCCAGTCCTTTGCAGCTTTCTTTCATGCCACGACACCATGTCATGCACTGACCACCTCTCCGCTTTTTTCAACCAGTCCGAGAGTCGGCAAATAATGCACGACGTGGAATTCTCTGGGACGACATTCGTAGAACATGTCCAAGCCACTGAAGTCGATGTTTCAAGATGATAACACTAATTGGATTATCGTCTATGCACCCAAACACACGATGACGAACCTCTGCATTACTAACATGGTGTTGTCACTGGATGTCAGCAATCCTTCGGAGACAACGATGATCGAACACAGAGAGAACTAAACAAGATTAAAGAAACGCTTTAAAGGTCATATTAAAGATACAGAACCAAGACTTTAACTACTGACTTACTACAGTTGATTAAGATAAGATGAAGGAATAGGAGACACATTGTGATTTTCGTCTAACATTACTATTGTTTTTTAATTCAATATGATTACTCATTATAATATATACTTTATTTCAGTATGACGTTTATTCAAGATACAATATTCTTGTATTCAATTAAAGTGAATCAATGTTTAGCATAATATGCAACATGCGATTTCGTTATCATTTCATAAATGCAATTCTTTTTTTTCTAAAAAAAAATCCAGTCGGTATACAAATCAACATAGAAGTGAGTGTATCTTTGATTAGGGGTCAGATTAATGAGAAAAAACACTAACTTGTGAATATGGAGATGAAAAGATTGTGAATCAGTTTGAAAAATTTTAAAAGAAGTGATATTTTGTTGCAATAGATTTTAAGGTTAGAATTGGGATAGAATTAACTTTAGGAATAGTGATTAGGTAATATATAAGTTAACACGAAACTTTAACGGTTGGGAACCCACAACTAAATTGGGTATAATGAATTAATCACGCAAAAGCAATATTTGATAAAAGTATGTTATACTTAAATCCTTGAGAGAGCAATCAAAATTAAGGTGGCCAATGTTGAACATTAGAGCGAATTTAAAACGTTATCATGGATAGCTTTATGTTGGATACCATGTTTCTCACTAGGATCCCGATTTTTTAATGGAATGGATGATGACTATTTTGTCCAGAGAAGTTAGGTTAAAAGCGTTAGAATCAGGAGTTAAAGTTTAGAAGCCATCAAGATTTCCAGCCTAATTTACCGATGGTATCCCCTAACAAAATCAAATAATGACGTTAAAATCCTGAAATCTGCGTAAATCTTCCAGTTTTTTTTCACAAATGCTGCATCCTGATTGGCTATCTGATCAGGTTCAAGGTTATTTAATGTCTCTTAAGGCCGTCATTATAGTACACTCGCACTCAATGATGCACTCGTAAATAATTGTGTTTCGTACAATGTTTCATTCATCCACATTTCCTCATTCCTGATTGGTTAAAAGTTCTCAAGGCCAGTTGAGCATAACAATTCAATTTTAAAGAATATGAGACTGATGAATGTTAATCAATTTAAGGGAGGTTTATGCATCGTTATCGATCCATGCATTCATAGTTTAACAAGAAAGATAACAAATTAAGTTTTCTTTTTTATGGAATGATATCAGTTTTCATTAAATTATATTTATATACAGTTAAAGCACAAAAAAGTGGAGATTTGTAGCTTAGATGGATGATTTTGATGAAGTTTTATTCTTCGAGCTGGATGATTTAATAGTAGAGCTTTCATCGTTCTTCTGAACAACATCATCAGCACATACTTCAGGTAGATAATGATATCGTTCAGAATAACGATGAATGCTCTACGACTAAACCATCCAGCTCAGAAAACAAAACTCCAACAACAAAAAAAGTATAATTTAAACACATTTTAAAATAATTATTACAACATCATAAGTACTTTTCTTTTTAACTATTCAACAAGATACTGAATGAACTCAACAAAGAAATATAAACTGTGAAAGACTATAGAAGCATTTAATTAAAGCATTTATTTGAAATAAGTAACATTACAAATGAAAGAGTATGATTAATAACTGGGATTTATTGTGATTTTTTGTATTGTAATAAAGATGGTAAACGATTTTGAATAAGTTGTAAAATATCAACTTCTTCGTAATAAATTATTATTAATGTGATGAATAAGAATCCGAATGTAATTGTACCATGTAATATCATCCATAGAATGCCAAAAGAACAACAGAAAAAGTACTAGAAAGAATTAAAGCAGTAAAAAAAAAACAAAGCAAGAAAATTAAATGAAAATTGGCAAAGTATAACAGAAGACAGAGATTTCATTGAAATCATGAATCGATCAATATCAGACCATCATTGAAAAACTGAAAGCACTGGACGACCATTTCTTCATAGTATCGTATTTCAAACAGTGCACAAACAGGACTCAGTAGATGGGAATTGAACCCGAGACCTTCGACTTTACAAGAACGCCTATCCTCTAGGCCACTTACGCGGCATTTAACGGTGCTAGTGTTTAACTGAAATGCTTTCATGTCTTTAACGGTGGTCTAGCATTGATCAGTTTATGACTTCAGCGAAACTCAAAAATCTTCACGATCCTATACATAAAAATAGACTACCATGGGACTGCATTTCACTACGTTGCTCCACTACCTTGTGGATTAGATCTTTAGGTCAAAGTCTCGGGGTGTGGTCCTCTAAGAAAACCATCTGCTTCTATTTGGGCACCCAGGTAGTATCCCAGCCCTCAAACAAACCGAATGATTAATGTGGAGCATATGTATTTGGTGCCTTCTTGTACCAATGTTTATGTGTTTAAATAAAATAACAGAAATCAGAGTAGGTTGGAAGAAAGCTATGGGTAGCCAAACCAAGACGTGGTATCACTCCATCAAGTCATTAACTGTTGAAGATAGCCATGTCGGTAGATGCAGACTACCTGGTTGGGGTCGGCACCATAACCGTGATCAGTGATTGGACACATTGGGTGAAATCCCTCAAAATCGGTCATAATGGTGTAAATGCATTCACTAATCGTCTGCCATAGATCCTGAATTTCACGATCATAATATATTTTTATTCTAAAAATTTATTCCACTTGAATTACATTCTGTTTAATCTTTTCTTACTATTACTAGTACTACTGATGTAGCTTTGGTTTTCATCTTAGTAATTTTAAAGATTGATCTGAGTTGAAATATCAAAGAAAACCAACGAGTAACAGACAAAAGTCATGACTAATAAAGTCCAAATATATTTAGAGTGAAAAAATTGCTATTCGATATTCTTCACAATGTATCAAAACACTGATTAGAGTTAGAAGTGTACAACTGAACATCAATTCAATGGTTGTAATGACTAGGCTTTCTTCATGGTACACAACAATTCTGAGTTCGATTCCTGATGGGGGCGACATGTACGCAGTACATAGGAGTCCCATACTGGGAAGAAACAATTGTTCAGTTCTTATTTCTCAATGATATTTCGATTGAGATCAATCCGTGACGAATACAACCTGAAAATTACTATGACCTTTTTTAAACATAAAAATCAATAAACAAATGTACAATAATACCAATAGAGGTAAAAGAAAGAAAAAAAGAGACACGAACAACTGTAATCTTACTTGTGAAATTAAAGTACATACAATTGAAATGGATAGAATGCACATTTCACTATATGATGGAAACATTAATGATAATAATGAAATATTTGAGAATTTCTCCATTTCACAGTTTGATAACACAACGAAAGTCGATGATTTTTCACTACTACTGCAGCTGCTATCATTATCATCATCATCCAAGTTGTTTTGTTTTTCAATATTCGTTGGTTCATCAATTTTTGCCAAAAATTTGTTAATATAATAAACACTGTCAAAAGAATAATCATCAAATAAGAAACAGAATCAATATTAGTAGCGAAACACAGGGGTATATATATATATATATAAATTTTTCACCAGATACTTGGGTATGAACCACCGTTGAAGTGTAAAAGGAAATGATGCTATTCGGCCGCCTAAACCGAAGTAGGTAGATCGAGGTCCGAACTTACAACTTATTGGCTGGAAGTTGAACGCCTTAACCACTATGCTACCAGTCTAGCACATCGACCATATATATATATATATATATATATATATATATCGATTCAAATGGTTTTAGTTCACCTCATCAAAAACGATGGTCTACGCAAGATACTCAATGTCCGTTGGTCGGATATCATCAGCAAAGACCCATTGAGGAAAAAAACAAACCAACCTCCAGCTAAAGAGTAAATTAGGAAAAGACGCTGGATGTGGATAGGAAGAATATCGCAGAAACCACCAAACTGCATCATGAAGAAAGCCCTAACTTGGAATCCCGAAAGTAAAAGGAAAAGAGGAAGACCAAGGAACACATTGCGTCAGGAGGCAGACATCAAATGAATGAATAGCAATTAGAAACAACTGGAAATGATTACCCAGGACAGAGTTCGGTGGAGAATCCTGATCGGCGACCTATGCTCCTCCACGAGGGGTAACAAGTGTAAGTCATCAAAATATCTTTAGCTGGACAACCATTAAACACTAGGACGTATTGGAAAACTTTTTCAACCTAATAATATTGAACTCTTCAATAGTGTGATCACTTACGATATGGATGATTCAACTTGTATACCAATAATATATGTTTATGTACTCTGCTTTGAATTGCACCATTATAATGTGAAAATCGATGTCATCTGGTTGCCTATGATTCATCAAGGACTGAATTCATATCCTTGAAGATTGCCAGTTAGTGCATTACCATTAGACCAGTGACTTGATATTCAGTAGTCTATAATTCCATGTTCAGGTAATTGTAGACAATGTGTGACCAGCACCTAATATGTTTTGTGACGATTATCTCATATCCCGTAAACCTCTATAAATTTTTAGCGGGTGAAAAACTCCACTTTATCTGCTTCTAGTTTCGATTTTCAGATTGTGTTGATTGTTGATTTATATGTATTATTTTCCTTATTAAATGTAGGTGCATTTTGTGAGCTTGCTAGGTCGTCAGCTCACTTTTTCTTTTGTACTCTTGTCTTACAGCTCTCATCACTCAAACTACTCTATGTGCTCCCTTAACACATAAATTACCTTCTGGCTAGATACGAGTTGCTTCAAATTCACAATTTAGATTAAATTTATATACTTATTTGAACATATAAATATTGGTACAAGAAGGCACCAAATACATATGCTCCACATTAATCATTCGGTTTGTTTGAGGGCTGGGATACTACCTGGGTGCCCAAATAGAAGCAGATGGTTTTCTTAGAGGACCACACCCCGAGACTTTGACCTAAAGATCTAATCCACAAGGCAGTGGAGCGACGTAAGGAGATGCAGTCCCATGGTAGCCGGTGACCAACAACAGGTTCATACTCCATTTAATTCCTTAGGATCCTGGGGCTCATGTGAACCATTGGTTTGGAATCAGGGTTTTCCCACTCCCTTAGGTGAATTCTCCGTATCCACAACCAACCTGGTTATAGCGCCGGACATTCGCTTTCCGTACTATCGATTTCGTAAACAACACCCCGTCGCGAGTAGTCAGTGAGTAGGACTTCCCTGAGAGTGGCTATATACGCCTGGTCATGTGAGAACAAGGACTAAACATAATTTAATAAAAAACACTTTAAAACACACAACATTCATTTTATTACCTATATAAAATACGAGTAGTCATATTAATACAATTGGCCAGTACAAAACCGTATACATTGAATATTGGGACAAGAAACCAATTTGCGCTGAGAAATATTATAGAAAATATTACTAATCGTTGATTGTGACGTAAAACTTCATCCTGTGAAATAAAAAAGTGGTAGTTATTAAACAAAGTGATAAGTCTTCCTACTGATACGCCTAAACTGTCTTCTTAGCCGATTCCTATAACCTCATCTACTTGTACATATCAACTGGAACACTAGAAATAAGCCGCGAACTAGAAACAAAAGCTATACTTCAAACTTAGCTTATGTACAAAATAGCGAGGGTATTTATAGTTGCACACGACCTTGGGTCTCTGGAACCATATTAAATATAGTAGCGGTATATGGGAATATTCAATCCAAATCGTGGTATGCAATTATGTATTTTCTAGATGCCTTTGTGATGAGTATTCAACGCTGATTAGATAAGACGTTCCATGGAGTTTCTGTGACTCTAAAGACTTTGACGAGGAAAATTTTGAAACTCTCCGAACGTCAAATAAGTTGAGATAGATAAAACAAAAAGGGGACTTGGTTAGTAGTAGCGGTTGCCCAATAGTGGTTAATGACTTCCTTAAACGACAATAGGTTTGGGATTTAGTCTCCTATATTCGCTTCTTTCAACCTAATCTTATGTCAGCTAACATTGTGCGTCGGTGGTGATTGGGTAAGTATAAGTCCTGGATACACAGTAACCATTACATATCGAGTTTGAAATTCAGTAGTCCGAAGAGAAAATCATGTCAGTGATTTGAGCTAAACATTTTGTTAACAGAACGAAGTAACTGTATTAATACGTTTCTTTTTTTCAAATAAGAACGATATACATATATAATAAAACATACGAAACTTACTGTTGACATTGCGGAATTCAACAGCGCTTCAGTCGAACCATTCCATGCAAGTAACAAAACATAAGCAGAATATAATTGTAATAAACTGACCGCTACATAATTATCAGCTAATCTATGCCCAGCGTAAATCATTAATAATAAACGAGAATTAGCTTGAGCAAAAGTTACACCAATCCAAGCTATAAGACTTGAAATACGTAAAGCTGTTTTAAGCATACGAAATGCATCCATAAGTAATTTCTGCAAATTAGAGAGAACAAGACGGATCAATTAAAATTTATAGTTATGTATAAGTCTGACCAACAAGTAGATTCGAGTTACAGCTCTATCAACTTCGGTTCGGGCAAATTAGGTTAATAAGCCCTACTCATCAGTTTAGAAACTTGGTTTAAAATACATCACCCGAAACTTGTACATACAGAGATGTGGTACATTAGTAAATGAGATGATCATAGATATCACACACGTTATGTTTTATTCTTAATCTTAAAAATAGTATAACGCAACATTGAATAAAAATAATATGTATCACGGAAATTATCATACTGCTCAGATTATGAAAACCCTTTTCGGTTACCATACTAAGTAACTTGAAAAGACATAAATACAATTGATTGATCTCTGAGTGGTGGTTAGAGTGATGTTTCTTTAGTCCTCCTTCAGGGTGGATTAAATCCTTTCGGCAAAGTTCCAATATAGGCATTAGTGTAAATGACTCGACACCGAGTGTGTGGCAAGCCCATTTGGCCACTGTATCATCTGTCTATTCATTGTAACTTAGACTCTTAATTCACTATGTTAATTTCGGTGTGTATGATCGAATGCATGTCTGTACATTAACTTTTAAACTATTTTCCTATTGGTTTCAACGTGCAGATAATCGATAGTCTATCCACACCTGATTAACCCTCAAAAATATATATGGATTTTTAACAAACTCACACTCTCTCTGTTCCCATCGTGTGCTTGCTCACAATACGCTTGTGGATTATCATTATTCATTAATAATAAACTATCTCCATAACTGGTGTTCAGGCTTCTTAATAATCTCGAGTAAATCCGCAATTCTACTAGGAGATTAAGCCTACCTTAAATACTCAGTTACGGAATATCATTATTTGGAGTCAGATATTAAGGACATTACCCTTAACATATTGGTGACCCGCCTTTAGAACGCGCACCATTTTCCTCCAAAGTCTGCTGCATTCTCCTCAAGAGTATCATAAAGAACTTCATATTGGAATTATTATTATAATTAATAACAATCCATTGACAGTCATAATAAATTCACTCATAATATTTTCCCTTTGGAATTATTACTGTATACTCTCATACATATACCCAAAGTGACAATTTTTCTTTTCGGTGAGTCTTATATATATATTTTTGTTATTTTTTATTTCTCTTCATATTGTATATTACAATCCTCAGCTTATTATTACTATTGCTTTTTCGTATCATGGCACTTGATAATTCGTTAAGCCTTTCATCTAAATCTATTTCCGTGGGTGCCATCTCTGTACCTTTACCCATTTTTAATCCACGAAAGGCTGAACTCTGGTTTGCTTGTTTGGAAAGCTTTTTTGTTGCAAACAAAATCACAAACCAGAGTACGAAATTTAGTTATGCAAATTCACTGCTGCCAGATGACGTCATTGAACAAGTGCCGGATGTCATTTTTAAGCCGGATCCTGACTCACCATTCGATTGTCTAAAAAGAGAGGTCATTCGTGTCACATCTCTCACCGATCAACAGACAATTGATCAACTTTTAGCCAACGTGGAGCTAGGTGACAATACACCGTCACAGTTAAAACGCCACATGACAAACTTATTAGGAAATCGTACAGTAGACAAACGTCTACTATATCAATTGTGGCTCAGACGTCTCCCTCAAAACATACAACAGATACTAGCAATTGGAGACGAAGACGTTGATTTTGATAGACTAGCAGACATAGCCGACAGAATTTACGAACGGTCCAAGACTCACCTTGTATCTCAAATCCAATCAAGCTCAGCTGACGAGATCGCCGAGTTACGACGATCAGTTGATACCCTTACGAAACAGATAGCTCAGATCCAATTATTGAATGCCTCCCACAGCAAGCGTAGAGGAACATCCACAAGCCGTAGACGACGTAGTCCAAGCACTACTAGACACAACATTTGCTGGTACCATAGAACATATGGCAAACAAGCTAGAAAATGTACTCCGCCTTGTAACTTTGCAAGCACACAGAAAAAGGAACGTCAAGACCGTAGGTTAATGACGACTGCACTCACTGACCACAACTTTCAAGACAGTCGTCTATTATATGTTACAGACAAAAGAACCGGCACACAGTTTTTAGTCGACACTGGGGCAGAGGTTAGTGTAGTACCACCTACTGCACTCGAGAAAAACACACCTGACCCCAAACTAAAACTACAAGCTGCAAACAGGTCTGACATCAAGACGTACGGCAAAAGGCGGTTGCAATTAAATTTCGGTCCTAAATTTAATTTTTCCTGGAGTTTCATCATAGCGGACGTCCTCGTTCCTATAATCGGCATTGATTTTCTGCAATTCCACAAAATACTGGTAGATGTCAGAAATAGGAAACTTGTCCTTGCCGAACAGAGTAAGGAAATTAGAGTAATTATATCAAATGAGACTTCCATACATTTATTAGTTAAACCTCAAGATGAGAACGACAAATACGTCAATTTACTTAATCAGTTTCCAGATTTATTACGACCGAGTTTCAAACACGACAAACCTACGCATACCGTCGTACACCACATAAAGACAGAGGGTCCACCAGTGTTCGCACGTCCAAGACGCCTTGATCCCTCTCGTCTGGCTATCGCAAAGAACGAATTCAACAAAATGATTGAGTTGGGCATCATACGCCCCTCCGATAGTCCGTGGGCATCACCGCTTCATATGGTACCTAAGAAAAACTCTTCCGAAGTTAGACCGTGCGGTGACTATAGAGCTCTCAACAGCCGGACCATACCAGATAGATATCCTCTCCCACATCTGCATGACTTCACTCATAGCCTATCTGACGTGTCGATCTTTTCAAAAATTGATCTCGTCCGTGCTTACCATCACATTCCAATTCATCCGGACGATGTTCCTAAAACAGCCATTACTACCCCCTTTGGACTATACGAATTCGTCCGCATGCCTTTCGGATTAAGGAATGCTGCACAAAGTTTCCAGCGTTTTATTGACCAAGTGGTACGGGGCTTACCGTTTGTGTATGCTTACATAGATGACCTACTTATAGCAAGCAAAGATGAAAATGAACATCTAACTCATCTGAAAATGCTTTTTGAGAAGCTAAACGAGTATGGGTTAGCGGTCAATCCTGACAAATGTGAATTCGGAAAACAATCCCTCACCTTTTTAGGTCACGTACTTGATAAGCAAGGCATTAAACCAGTTCCTGAGGAAACACAAGCTATCAAAAATTATCCTTTGCCTGATTCATTCAAGAAACTACGACGTTTCCTTGGGATGATCAACTTTTACAGACGTTTTATCCCTAAATGTGCAGACTTAGCAAAACCACTAACTGATTTATTAAGGGGACGAGCTAAATCATTAGCAATGACACCGCAAGCAATTCAAGCATTTGATCAGTTGAAAAGCGCTTTAAGCACAGAGGCATTACTCGCACGACGAAAGGTTGATGCACCTTTAGCAATAATGACCGACGCTTCTAACGTAGCAGTAGGTGCTGTACTTCAGCAACGTGTCAATGAACAATGGCAACCCCTTGCATTTTTCTCAAAAAAGCTGAACGCAACGCAAACGAAATATAGCACATTCGGTAGAGAACTGTTGGCTATCTACTTAGCCATCAAACACTTTCGCTACATGTTAGAAGGCAATTCTTTCACGATATATACTGATCACAAACCCCTAACTAAGTCCTTGATGCACAATCATGATAAATATAGTCCGCGCGAAATTCGTCAACTAGAATTCATTTCACAATTTGCAGCTGATATACGCTATATTAAAGGCAATGCAAATGAGGCAGCAGATGCACTATCGAGATTAAATATCAATACCTTCTCGATCCCTGATATAGACTATCAAGAAATGGCAAAGCATCAAAAGGTCGATACGGAGCTACAAAAGCTTTTGCAGTCTAAGGAAACGAAATTATTATTCCAAAACATCCCCATAAACAACAAGGACACCTTAACTTGTGATACCTCAACAGGCAAAACTCGCCCTTTTGTACCTTTCGGTATGAGACGAAATATTTTTGAGAAAAAACAGACAACTGTAAAACCGTCTAAACCTGCAGCAGAGCAAGCACCATTCAAACTACCTGCAACAAGCAACACTTCAAATCGAAATTCAGCAGCAGCACAAACTACAACAAGATCAGGAAGGAGAGTACATTGGCCAGATAGGTATGTAGCAACCACCATATTTATCTAGACCAAATCCTGAGACTACTCTTATAACACATAAAAATCCTATTTTATTTTGATTACTATTTTTTTTATTGGCCCCACGGATCATCATTATGCTTACATTTTAACTTTATACAATTCATTAATGTTAAATATACACTTGTATATACATGATATGAAACGTTTCAACACACAAGCTGTTATTACAGTTTTACGCTTACTCATCATATTGAGTTGTACTTTTATTTTAAAAACAGTTCCGTTCTTTATCTCTTTGTCGAACATAGATGTTAATCCAATTTTTTTTTTGGTACATAAAAACATCAATGTTCTGGATGGGAGCTTATGTGGCAAGCCCATTTGGCCACTGTATCATCTGTCTATTCATTGTAACTTAGACTCTTAATTCACTATGTTAATTTCGGTGTGTATGATCGAATGCATGTCTGTACATTAACTTTTAAACTATTTTCCTATTGGTTTCAACGTGCAGATAATCGATAGTCTATCCACACCTGATTAACCCTCAAAAATATATATGGATTTTTAACAAACTCACACTCTCTCTGTTCCCATCGTGTGCTTGCTCACAATACGCTTGTGGATTATCATTATTCATTAATAATAAACTATCTCCATAACTGGTGTTCAGGCTTCTTAATAATCTCGAGTAAATCCGTAATTCTACTAGGAGATTAAGCCTACCTTAAATACTCAGTTACGGAATATCATTATTTGGAGTCAGATATTAAGGACATTACCCTTAACAAGTGCACTTATTTAGAATGTTCAGTATCTAAATGTAGTCGGCAAGAAATACTACTTAATCTAGCATTTTGGTATGATAGCCGATATGATCAAAACATTAACGCTAAGCTCCTAATCCTAATTTATGAGGCTAATTCATACCCCCTATTTGGAATTCTATAATTCGTTGACGTTTTCAAGGTTAATTTAGTATCGCTCAAAGGTCATCCATAAATAAAAGTTGCGAGACTTACCCCCAACCAACTGATTAAAAACCCGATAGTCTACAAATTTTCTAAATTCATATAGGTCACGACAAAAATCATCTTCAAGATTTAAAATTATCTCTACATGTTGCATTTTTCTACCGTCTGATATCTCTTAACTAGAAAAAAACAGTTTCTATTTCAACAAAATCGAACAACAAAGATACAGAAGTAAACGTATTCGAGTATCTTCCAGTATGTTATCCATTTACCTACTAGTGATGATTAGTAGGAAACGTACCAATCGCCATATTCGAAGTTCAGCCTGAACTGAATAAGCAATGGCTAGGACTCTATCCGGTCAACATCAAAACATTGACACAAAGTAAACCCTGTTATTAGCAAGAATTCAATCGCTGAAAAAATTCTATCATATCAACAACAAAAAAAGAGGTAGATGAACGAAGAATATTCTTTTTAATAAATTCACTTTTAATTATTCTTCTATCAACCTTGACTGTTTTTATATTGGCGTATATGTGTGTACTTCTTATCCTAATCATCACATGCCTGTAACTTATTTTTGGTCTGACTATAAATATCGATTCACGCTTGGTTAAACCGAGTTGGCTCAATCACCTTCTTCCCTGTGTATCACTTTGTTTTGCATCGCTTTCCAATCAACGATTGTATGAAATGAACGTACTCGAAATCCATTCTCGTATTTGACTTATTTAATTCCGTTATACACTAGGCGCAATTTAAGTCAATGATTGTATACACGGGTAGGCGGTATGTATATTTCAATAACAATCATCCATACGATTTAAGTGAAGTCGGATATAGGGCTATTAAAATCCATACCTTTTACCTTGGTCAACATCTGACCTAACTTAGTTAATAACCATTTTTATGACATGATGAAGTAGTCTGATCAATGTTCATTTTTATAGCTTAAACTCATCTTATTCACACATATAATAATAATAATTATTATTATTATTATTACCATTATTGTCATCATTATTGTTGTAACACTTGAAAACACTTTGAGAAATTTATTTAGCATTTATCCCTATTTACCTATTCGTATCCAATTCATATTATTCTACATAGTAAGAATTCAATTAAACATCACAAAATATACACAGTATGAATGAGAACTTACTTTGTCTTGTTTACTTGGAGAGACATCTCTTTGAATACATTGACTAAACATAAAATGACAACTTTCTTCCAATGGTAAGAAAAGTAGACGAGCCGCTAAAGAGCCCAAATTATTGACGAGATCATATATACCTACAGAGGAGAAGAAGATCGACATAGTTTAGGGGAAGTAATGCAGCCCAAATCATCATTACTGAAAATTTAGGGTCTTTGCTTCACTGAGCTCGAGTCCCGGGTTGAGCATTAACACTGGGATGCAGGTACATCCAGCTGATGAATCTCAAATACGATTAAATGAGTGTCGAAGATTCTACTGCTAGCGACCATCCATCTCAGCTCAGAAGGAAGATAGATGTTTATCATCTACTCTTATAGCATCATTTAATTTTGTTTCCGCAGCCATTTAGTTACATGTTCAGACACCCTAATTCACAAATCATGATTACTCCTCCCTATGTATGTATGGCCACACAAGGATATAAAATTCATAAATACAGTGGGATATGACGCCCACGTTGATATCTCACATGGGATCGCCTCGAGCAAAAATGCCCCATTATGATGCTGATCGTAATACTGTTTAAACTTGTGTTCATTTAAGTCTGTTATTGATCTGCACCGAAGAAGTGTCTTATACTACGCCCCAAAACGTTATAAATTTTAATTTTTACTCATTAGATTAAACAGAATAGGAGTATTGAGTCCTACTGATCAAAAGTTAAATTGTTTAATTATTGGACACTAATGGTTCAATAAAATTTGTGAGAACCATCGATAAAATAATTCCAAAATAAAGGACACATATATGTTTCCTATACAAATTAAAATTACTACTTACCCTGATCAGTGAAACTTATCAAATGGAACGCACTGATTAAATATCTTTCACCTGAATAGACCAACAAAAGAAGTTGAAATCAACGTGAGTTTAGCACCAAGGAAAGTTGGATTTTTATTTTGCCTAATCAAAATAATTAATTAGCTTATTTGATGAAAATATTTCTATAAATATAAAGTTAGAACGAAAGTAAAACAGTTCAGTAATTATTAAACTGATCCAGAGGTAATGAATTTTCAAATCAGCAAGACGAGAATTTAATTTCAATGCTGAAACTTGATGACCCAAATTAACTGTCCATACGTTAAACATTCACTTACTATTTACAATTGACTGAACACTAGGTATGTTAGGTCCTTCTTCATGACGTACGATATTTTTATTGTGATGCTTAGTTGTGCTAATCATCTGTAAAAACAGAAGTGGACCAAGTGGGTTCAAATACGTGTGACTTATTGGTCGGAGGGTGAAACTCGAGTATTTTAATAACTAAAATACCACTCTACCAACAAGTTGAGATTTGGATTGATCGATGTTAAACATTAATATCGTTGGATACCGGCTCAGTGATTTAGAGCTTAAGCGTTTGCAGAAATCGATTCGCTTGCGTGAAGTCTTGGATGCACAATGACGAGGAGTCCCATATTAGGAAGAAACGGTCGTCTAGTGTTCCCAGATTTATATGGTGTTCTAACTCAGATTAGTTCATGAATTCAACGAGAATTAGCAATCTTTAAAACCCTATACTGACAAAGTTGAGACTTGATCTAAAAAACAGACAAATATATCCAACTCTTATTTTGTATTTATAATAACTAAGTAGTGTATAGACTGTTACATGCATCTGTACATAGGTGATTTGTGTTAGCTTTATGAATGCTAATAACCTCAAAATAATCTGGTACAGATGAGGGTGGAAAGAGCTCTTTTTCCACCTCGAAATGCCCCATGTGAACAGAGATTTATAGTTCCTGTCACAGAGGTTCTGCTCTACTCACTATCTTCACGTAGCAATCGGTGCTTTTGATGAAAGTTAGGGGATGAAGAGTGGATGTCAGGAGCTTAAACCAGGTTAGTGGGTACGGATAGTTTAAGTAGGGGAGTTGAAAAAACCTGACTACAAACCAGTGGGTACATACATATTTTGATCACTGCTACCACGGGACTGCATCCTCTGATGTCACTCTAGTGTCTTGTGAATCAAACCTCCAGATAAGAGGATCGGGGAGTAGTCCCTTCAAGTAAAATGCCTCCTTTGGTTCGGGCAACTGAGTAGTACCACAGTCAACTAACAAATATGTTGCCACCTCGAAAGAAACTGTCTGAGGAATTTTAAATATCAACGTTAACACTCCTTACTTCATATTAAACATACAAAATATTTGCATACCTTCTGTTAAAAGTTGTTTCAGTATACACTGACCAAAAAAGTTCTTTACAAGTTGTAGGCCTTGTCGATCGATAGAATACTTTCATGGTGTAAAAAATCAAAAGAAATGTAATTAGTTACATTTTGTAGGTAATTAATATTAACATAGATAGTTTTGAATCGAAGAGAAACGATAGTGACTTTCTTCTAATTCCAAAATTAGTCGAGAAATAGATTCAGGTACTGTTAAGTACTACTATGACAGCCTAATTTTCTATAACTAAGAAAATTAGTCTTTAGACTCGAATTTATTATAGTCACTCATAATCAACGTAGAGCCCGGCACAGGTTTGTGTTGACCCAAGTTGACATAAGAAATTAGCACTAAGAGATAAACTTAAAGAAACAAATAGCGAACGAATAGAAAATGCAGCAGCTAAGATAGATAAGAAAGATTGAACACAGAGTTTAGCTCAAAAAGAGAATATTGGAAGTAGCGATCTAGAAGAATATAAAATGTGAATAGATTTGTGACATTGTGGGTAATTTTAACCAATTTTGTCTAGCGTCTCCAACCATTGATATAGGATGTCGCGTTAGTCCGGACCAGATAAACTTATTATAGGCAACTTTGATTATCAGTTTAAGTAATACAATGCATTTAACGTTTGCTATGATAAACGGGCAAATGAAAATCGCTAAATAGAACTGATGGGTTGAATCGTTTTGGGATTAAATTAGAATTGGAAGTTTTGTTGACCAGGAAGTAATACCATAGAACAAATTAAACAATTGCAAGGGCCCGGTTTCGTATAGCAGCTTATAAGTAAGATTTGCTGTATTAGCTCTGAGGAGCAAACGATGGGCTATTTTAAGGGTCGATTTTTTCTAGACCATTCCTCAGTTTGCGAGAAGGAAATATAACTGGGGCAATGTTGGGTTTTCCGTTAGAAAAGTATGACTATCATTACAAACCTGGTACAGTCAGCAGTTAAATGATTTTGACCAGGTTTAAAAGTGGAAAAAAGCTACATATCAGTGGTGTTGTATAACTACTTCTATATAATGGTGTAATAATCTTTACTGATTCAGTCAGCCCATGAAACTATCAGCCAAGAGGAGGCCCTGTGGTGAACACACTGCAAATCCATTAATTTAATATTCAATCTGTAAAATAAGGTATTTAAACTAATAATTAAGAAGTTTCATTTATATGAGACATATATATGGATGACACTTATTATTTGCGAAGAAAATCTGGATCTCAATGAAATCTTGGATGAATTCAATTATTGTCATTACTCAATTAGATTACCATTAAAGCAGAGATGAACGAGAAATTTCATTTTCTTGATTTCCTGTTAAAAAGAACGCTCGGTGATTTCTTACGAAGATCTAAATATAGAAAGCAACTCTGAAGTAGTCAGTACACGAATTCCATAGCAGAGTTCCACTGAATAAGAAGAGAAACCTAATTCACCCTTTACCCTCGAGAACTAGGCGAATATGCTCTCATGACACAATAGATGACGCATTTCAGAGCACTACTCGTTGTGGCTTTTAAAGCAAAAATACAGAACGATCACTAGCTCAACACAGAAGCACTTCAACTCTGCGCACGTTACTCCAAAGAAACTGTCCTTCAAAACAATCTACACGGTAAAAAGAACTGGATCGAAGGGAGGCCAAATCTAAAACTTATGGACTACTGAGGAGTTCGCAATTCACCAATTGAAACCAGAACTCTGAATGCAAAAGCAATATGTCTAACCCTTCATCGTCCCTTGGTCCTAATTCTTTTCTCCAGTATCTTTTGGTTATGTTTTTTCTTTAAATTAGTGTTTTGTAATTTTAAACCGTAATCAGTTATTTTTATCCAATAACAATTTTTCATGACTATTATTTAGTTATTATTATGACCCTTATGTTTTTTTATTTTGTCTTCATCTCTGTCACATGGACAATTATCACTCACAATTCTAACCGTAAATTATCTTCATCCTCCTACTCTTCTCTAACCTCTCGATCATTACGCAACCTCATTTTGATATTTTATATTTCAGATCTATTTACGATGTGATCTCTTCCTATCCACCGATAGACTCAAATATACGTCAAGCAACTGTCAATACGAGTGTATAGCTTAAGTAAATGATTTTGTCCACAAGAAAGTTCTTTCACTGAATTTTCTTCATTTTCCTAAATAATATAAACGCACAAATATAAACTAACCCGAAAATAACTTGGTAAAATATCTTTTAACGAAGCGATTCCTGTGATTCCTTTAAGTTTCAATTCGTTATTTGATGTTAAACGTGGTATACCATATTTAAAATACAGTAAGTAACTTATGAACAATGTTGAACCATGAAGAAGCTAAAAAAAATCAAAACAGAAAATGATGGATTGAAAAGACACTAGAATATCCTTGTCTACGGTTCATATATAAGTACACATTTTTACTACATTAAACGGGACTCCTGGGTGTTGCACATCCGCAATGCTCGTCACGAAACCCGAAGGTCCCGAATTCGATCCCTGTAGTCGTGGATATGTACTATCGAGGACCCCCCCCCATATACTACAACGAAACAACAATTAAGTGTTTTCTGGTTTGCGATGTTTGTCTAAGACCAACCCATGATGCAAGCTAAAACGTCCAACGATATTTACAAACTTTAATACTAATAGTAGCTACAATTATCTTCGAAATAAGAATACATAAATATACAGCAAGATAGAGGTAAATATTATGATCATACATAGTATGTTTCATAAACGAATGAACTGAGGTTATAAACACGTTATTTTACAAAGTTTAAAGTACATCAGTCAAAATACTATCCATGTTATGAAACAATATAATTAGTCCATTTCCTTTTTTATGCTTAGAAACATCCATAGTGAACAAGGAAAATGACCTAACATGACAATCGAATTACTGGCCAGAAATTCACAAAATGTCCCTGCCGAATGTAGAGGTTAGCTAACATACCGAAACATACATGAATATTTAAATGCTTGAAAGTCTTTATAAACAAAGTACAGTTTATTGTTTGTCCTATAATGCGATTGATTGTTTAGTAAATTTTGTAACCGACAATCGTAATAGTTCAGTTCGTATATCAATTTTAGCGACCATGTAACTGAAACCATAATGATACTCTTGACTAAAATAAATGATGTTCTGATGGTCGCATGAATATCTAAATGTAAAAACGAAAAATTGTACCTATACTGTGGTGCATGCTACTTATGCTGACAGATGTAAGTAGTGTGTAGAAGTAACTAATTTACCCCGCCTGATATCTCATTTACTACAACATAAACAAATAATATGATAACTGTTAATACATAAAACTTACTTGAGGTATACTAAGTGAATAAATGGCATACTGGGATGGTACAGTAAATATTGCAAATAGTATTCCAATTGAACGAGCAGTATTAGCAAAAGCTTCAATGAAAATTCTTGCACGAACTTCATGAGATAATTGACAAATAAGCCATAATGGTTCAGTAGCTAATTCAAAAAGACCAGATAAAGCGTATATCATGATACAGAGGATGTAACGTTGTTCAATAATTGACGATGTTAAATTTAATTCAGAATTTGATTCATTAATTAGATTACTTGGAGATGGTAAGATGTAAATCCACACAAAACTCAATAGTATTACAATGATGAAACCAATAGGAAGTCTAAAATTTTGAAATTTATTACAATATAATTAAACTTACACTAGCCAAGCAAGATTGAAAATTCCATACAGTTGTTCTTTAAATTGTAAACTACACTGAATTGAAGTATGACCATCTTGATTAATTTCATGCTTACAACTTTTAATCAACTGAGAAACATCAACAAAATCTTCATTTGTAGAATCAATTATTGTAGTAACATTTGCATTTGATAATGATTCAGTTGATTTTCTATTATTATTATTATTATTATTATTATTATTATTATTATTATTATTATTATTATTATTATTATTATTATTATTATTATTATTATTGTTACTATTGACTACTTGACCACCACGACTAAGACATGCACGACGAAATGCTTCTCTTGAAGTAAATATCAATGTTGAATAAAATAAACCAAGTCGAACATTGACTAAGCCTAAACTAGCTGTATCCAAATAACGATAAGAAAGACTATTCAATAAAAATGTCATGATATGTAAAATCATTTGAAGTAGAAATGTATAACCAATTAAAGTAAATCCAGTATTGAGAAATTCCGAATCCTTATGATTAGATAATTTAGAAGATGATTCATTAGTAATATCATTTATATGCATATTATCACTTAATCTAATTTGATTTGATTTATTTCGGTTAGTGATTAAATAATTTGAAATGTTAAACTTCATTTGTTTTATTGTATTTTGTATAGTACTATTATTAGTTAGTGTTTTATTGTTGTTCTTAGCTGGATTCGAGGAAACTTCATCGCTGAAAAAATAAAATTTGAAATTAATGTAACAATTAAAATTTAAATAATGAACAGTAATTTATATTACGATTATTAGTAGTCATAACAACAAGAAAATATAAAACCAAATAGGTAAGTTCAAAAGGTCAGCTCAAAATCGTGTTCTCTCAAATTCCAATCTTCTGAATGCTTCATGTCCTTTTTTTTCTCTTTCCAAATTTATTTCACTGGATTATACTCCTTGGATAACATCTTCAAACCCTAATCATTCCGATTACTGCTTATAATTTTACTACCTCTACCACTATGGGATTCGAATCGACAACTGCATCTCTGTACTAATGTGGTATGGCAATTCGAATTGATGTACGTCCGTACGAAGTTCTACGTTATTATTGACTGGCTGAAGTTTAATGAATTGACTTTGAATACAGAGTATAAGTGCTCAAGGCTATTGGGTTATTTTCATAAAATTGACTTTTCCGTGAATCAACACAACTTTCAACAAATGTGAACATGTAGAACATTTTAGGTTAATATGAACGGTTATCGGATAGATGGCTAAGTGAGTAAAAATAACTCAGCCCTTAATCATTAAGTTGATTCATCTAATTTAGGTTTAATAGCTCGGTATTATCACTAATTCATATATTCAACACGTGCCTTAAAACCGAGTACATAAAAATGTACCTGTAAGAACAAAACAAAGTGAACCATTGGAATTGCATCAGTTCACTTAACCAATTACATTGCTGAGAGCGTCGTTCACCAAACTGTCTTATGTAATAGATTTAAATGTTTATTTCGTTATCTAGTCACGAGTTAGTTCATAATTGTGCGAATCCTTAACACCTTAATGGTTGCGCTGTACCATATATTCACAAATAATAAAAGATTAACAGAATAGATTATTTGTCCAAATTTATGATAGCATCTTCCAAATTATTATTAATATTTTTGTGGCCAAACTAGAAAATGTACCATTAAAAGGCATCCTAAGTAAGCTAGATTATTACTGTCGATACACAGATGACGTACTAATCATATGTGACGAAATTATCGACAACCAAGAGATGTTGAACTGTTTCAATAACGTCCACCCAGGTGAATAAAGGTTAAGCCTTCTCTACCAGACGGAAGGCCCTGGGTTAGATTCACAGTAAAATCGTGGATGAGTACTCTTCAGGAGTTCTATACTACAACCAAACAGCTATCCAGCATTTCCTCACTTTCAACGGTAGTTCAACAAAGACAACTTTGAAAGTTGTAATTTGTCACATTCATCTTAAAATGTAATACATTTTTACTTCAGATATGAGAGATCAATAATTGCTTTTAATTATTTAACTATATATATATATATATATAGATAGATAGATAGATAGATAGCTAATGGAGCTATGAGAAATTCATTCTGATACTGAACTTTCAATGGTTAAGTTATGTATTCAATATGATTAGCCAACTGCCCAAATTTGATAACCCATTGATGTCATGACTCCTAATCACAAAGTCTACGACCTATAACAGTTTGGTACACAAGACTTGTACGGTAGCAGAAGGCTCGAACCTATTGAATAATAATATCAACAGGGCAACTCAATCCTTAACCCAACTATTTATGATTTCTAGTGACATTCGATAACATAACAAATAATGATTTATTGAAAGAAATCATAACAAAACAAAAAAAGTCTAAATAGAAACTACTTGCACATATATATAAACAAAATTAAAACTCACAGATCATAAGGAGTTACACTATCTGTTTGAGAGGACATTCCAATAGTAACAATAACAAGTCTGGAATATAAAATTAGTTTAAATGTTAAAAAAAACAACTACATATATAAAAGAAACAATGGCAAAACTAAGTTCTATATGAATGAAAGGACAATTTTATACACATAATTCCCTATATCATTTTGAAATGACAATTGGTTTTCTCAGCAGAATATTGATAGTAATTGAAATAAAGGAAATAAGAATAAATTCACATGAACATAAGAATCCTATATTAATTTAATATTTATAAGTAGTATATATTTTGAAAATGATTGTTTATTTGGATTTTGATGACGATGATGTTGTTGTTGCTGTACAAATATGTGATATACTTGAAATAGGTAAACGTCCTTCTACCTCTTCTTGATACTTGAGAATAGTTTCTAAAATATGAATATATTTTATACTGAGGCGTAGAATTTCATGTTTGCTTAATTTTTTATCCGGTGGATGTGTAGGTAGGATATATCTGAGCTCGGCAAATGCTTGATTAACACTACGCTGACGTTGACGTTCACGACTATCCACTAATGAGAAATCATGTCTATCAGAGAATGAATCCATTCGTAATTTTTAAGAATGAGTAGATGGATGTGTTGGGGTATATATATATATATCATAATGTAAAAAGGAGACGAACATTTCATTCCATTCTCCAATAACAAACAGCGAAAATATTACAAAGGTTTAAGGTGAACAATATCAGATGTGAATGACTCGATATTATAATTAACAATTAACCAATAGAAACATGGATTAGCAACAAAAAAACGGTGAAGAAATAGGAAAGTGAATATTAGGGATTGAAAAGAAAGTCTATGATCACTTTTGATAAACAAGAATTGAAAAGAGAATGTGATGTGAGTGTGTGTGTGTGTGTGTGCGAGAAAAAGACACTGAAACAAGAAATACAACAATTGATGATGATTACGATTATTATTATTAATCGCATAGGAATAATTAATTTTATCTTCAATTTTTATCTGATTAACTGTATTTCAGTGATAAATAACTAAGAAAATTATTCAAGAGGAAAGAATGATTTAACGACTAATACTGATAACTTCTATCAAGTTTTATCAGTTTATATAATTTAAGAAATTTAGAAGATAAGACTATCAAGCACACGAGATATTCCCAGTATAAGTATATTAATCACATCTCACACATACAAGTGAATTGATAACTTAGTGGTTAAGGCATTCAACCTCTGACCAATATGTCGTGAACCTGATCCTCTATCCATCTACTTCAGTTTAGGCAACTGAATAGTATCATGTTTTTACACTTCGAGGATAGTTTATACCTAAGTATCTGATGAAAAGATTATTCATATAAATAATGAACACGAACTTTTGAGCGTGTTTTTATGAGACATTTATTAAAAATGACAGGGACTCTAGTCATAAAAATGTAGACATATTACCAGGACAATAAAAAGCAAAGTCGAATAAGCGACTAATTAAAGAACATTTAGGTATCATAAATTTTAGATCTCACCACTTCAGCTTACATAAAAAGATAAAACATTCAAAATTTAATAGGAATATGATACACATATGAGACTGAAAGTGAATTCGGACGACGATTTTTGAATAGAATGATATAGTGCAGTTTAAATTTTAACTGTAAGCTATTAGCACTGATGTCTAACCAAAGGTACATTGTAAAGCACATAAGTAATATCAGTAGACACCAATGGCAACAGTTCCACTAAAGATACTTGAATAACGCAAAGAAATAAATGAAATGTCTATAGGTTGAAGACTTAATTTCGTTCTAATGTAAGCAAACAATAGACACTTAAAAGAATATTTCTAATATTCATTAAAATGAGCAAATATCTGAGATAAAACCTGTCTCTCATGAAATAAAGATTTCTAAAACAGAATGCTTTATTCAAATAGAGAAAATGATTCAATCTTTAATGGAACGTGAAACTGAACTGGGAACTTGATTATGCGATACTGCGACAAATTTCTATTTAACATGCATTCAAACTGTAAGTATTTATTGATATATTTTATAAATGCTATTAACAATCAGTAGTTCTCATTTATTCTCGGTCACAAAACGTTTTTATTAGTTCAACTGCTACAACTATTTTACAACAGCCATGCATGAATTATGATATTCACCCCTCGTTTATATCAAAGAACAGATAAAGAAGAAAATATACCAACAAATAAGACATCCCCTTTTAAACTTTTCGATGTATAACAACCCAATAAATTGTAAGCATTCTATTACAGTATTTGAGCGCATATAGCTAGTATTCATAATCATTCAATCTAAACTGATTGAAAACAGTAACGTTAATTACTATATTTATAGTTAGGAGAAAGGTGGCCCAGGCGTCTAGATAGGTCACCTTGGAATCTAAATTCATTAAACTAGATAACTAACGTAACCAATTTTTTAACAATTGTCTAGTACACTTATAAAGAAAATTGCTGACACTGATCAGCAAAGTAATAGAGACTAGGAAGTACGGAATAGCTGTTTCGTTTTTGCTAGAGAGCATTCACAAATGTATTATTACTAGTAGATACGAAGTTTAACTCGATTACTAGTAAACTACTGTTTAGTCAGCAGGTTTAGATCTAACGGTCAAATTTCAAACAATCGATTTGAAATAATGCGCAATCCTTATCGATTTGAGTGACATCTGTGGCCTCTTATTTTTAATGGTTTACCAGCTAATACCAAGCTGGGATCAGAACTACCTTTAAGCAGGTATCTGCATCACAAGTGATTCATGAAGAATATAAACAACCCTACATTATACGTGGCCTGTTTTCTTATTTATAAGCATATGAAATCATACAAACATTCGACAAGCAAAATACGATTTTTCGAATGTATCTGAACATATGTGACGGCCGTGTAGGATACTCACTTGTCAACAAATATTTCTGACATTTTCTTATTATTTTGCTAGGACAAAATAATTCGTTTATTCCTGGTAAGTTTTGATACACCAAAAGACCAATATTTAGACGTGGTTTTGTTGGTAATATAGAATTTATTAGGATTAAACCATTTGTTACTGTGATATTTTGTTAAGAGGTTATCAGTTTACTACTCAACATCAAATGAGTCAGTCGTACGCAACACAGAACTTGACACATATGTGCATCATCTCAAGTTCCCACACCACACAAGCACAGAAGTGCCACATTAATATATGCAGTAACAATATTAGTGATGGTAGAAAAGATTATGTACACGAGATATGATGATAGAGCAAAATACGGATTCATGGAATAAATGAATTCTTTGTGATGATTAAGGAACTTAGGATCTAAAGGGGAAAAAAGAGTGGATGTGCTTACGTTACTCCAAATGATTCTGGGCCATCATCCTAAGTCTTTAAACATTGGTTATGATGATCGCGCGGACCTACCTACATATATGTTTGAAATATACACTACATATCAAGTTTTGAAACTTATATGCATGATAGATTAACTGCCTAGTAGGGAAAATACCTAGTCCGGAACGACAGCGAGATCCTCAACAAAGAATTCTATACTAGAAAACATAACACTCATAAATAATTATAAGCCAATGGAAGTGTTAAGGAACTAGCACCGAAAATATAACACTATTCAACTGCTAGGAAATATTTTAACCCGACCGATCTCGTGGTTATAAAACTAAATTACTTATGATAATCAGGTGAAAGACTTAATTTTCTAATTATTTACAAATAGCCTTTAGTAATAAAGTCTAAAAGCTCGTGACCTTTAACTTAATATATTAACCGAGGTCTTAGGTAGAATTTGGGAACTGGATGTAATTCCACCTGACTGGTCTCAATCACTGGTTGTGCCAGTCTATAAGAAAGGACAAAAGTCCTCTTGTGACAATCACAGAGGAATCAGTTTGACTAATATAGTGTCTAAAATATTAGCCTCGATAATACTTCGACGCCTAATCAAAGCTCGTGAAGAGCAGATTAAAGAAAATCAGGCCGGTTTTCGACCTGGACGTGGTTGTATAGATCAGATATTCACACTACGTCAGGTTCTAGAACACTGACACACATTCAGACGCCCCACAATCGTAGTATTTCTCGACCTTAAGGCGGCATTCGACTCTGTTGAACATGAGGTTCTATGGCAGTGTTTGTCACTGAAAGGAGTACCAAAGAAGTACATTAACCTTATACAGGCTCTCTACTCGAACACAACTGGTAGAGTGAGAGCTTATGGCGAACTGTCATCAAAATTGATTAATTCAAGTGGTGTTCGTCAGGGCTGTCTACTCTCCCCATTATTGTTCAACTTTGTGGTCGACGTACTTTTAAAAATAACACTCTCCTCATCTAAATTTCCAGGGGTTGAACTTCTACCGAGAGGTTCACTTGTTGACTTAGAATATGCTGATGACATAGTTTTATTTGGTGAAGACGCTAACAAAATGCAGTCTTCTGACTACTCTAAGCAACAATGCAAGCATGTTCGGGATGCGATTCTCTCCCTCGAAATGCAAAATGTTGCTTCAGGATTGGGTTACATCGACACCCGAACTAGTGATAGGGAGTGTAGTTGAGCGTGTCGATCGCTTCACTTATCTCGGAAGTCTCACCAGCCCTTGTGGTTTGGTGTGTGACGAAATCTCAACACGGATACAGAAGGCTCGAGTAGCTTTTGCCAACTTGCGTCATTTATGGCGTAGGCGAGATATCCGTCTATCAACCAAAGGACGTGTTCACTGCTCAGCAGTTCGTTCCGTCCTACTTTATGGCAGTGAAACATGGCCGGTAAGAGTAGAGGATATTCGTAGGTTACTAGTATTCGATCATAGGTGTCTTCGAAACATTGCTCGTATATCCTGGGACCATCGAGTAAGTAACACAGTTGTTAGGAAACGGGTACTAGGTAAGAATGGCAAATCAATTGATGAAGTAGTGAAACTTCATCAGTTGAGATGGCTGGGACACGTGTTACGTATGCCCAACCACCGACTGCCTCGACGTGCTATGTTCAGTGGTATAGGAGTAGGTCGGAAGAAAGCTAGGGGCGGCCAAACCAAAACATGGCACAAGTCCATGAAGTCACTGACAAGTGGACTGAGTCATGTTGGTAGGTGTAGACTACCTGGTTGGGGACCGTGAGATGATAGCAACCGATGGTTAGAGACCCTGAATGACATGGCTCAAAATCGTTTGCAATGGCGCAGGTGCATCCACTCTCTGTGTTCTCCCAAATTCTAATCTTCTGAATTCTTCATGTCCCTTTTTTCCTCTTTCCAAATCTATTTCACTGGATTATACTCCTTGAATAACATCTCCAAACCCTAATCTTCCTGATTACTGCTTATACTCTTATTACCTCTACCACTACGGGATTTGAATCGACAACTGAATCTCTGTGCTAATGTGGTGTGGCAACTCGAACTGATGTACGTACGTACGAAGTTCTACGTTGTTACTGACTGACTGACTGACATTGCCTTCTCGTGGCGCGGGTGTTGTTTGCGAAAATGAGAGGACGAAAAGCGAATGTCCGGTGCTCTAACCGAACTCCAAACCAACCGTGCACATGGGCTCCAGTATCGTGCGGGAACAAACGGCGTATGAACCAATCGTTGGTCACCGGCTTCCATGGGAATGCATCTCCTTACGATGCTCCACTACTTTGTGGAT